ACCCGCTGTTAAAGGGTTAACCTTCGGGTTATGTCAGTCAGGATATCCTATGAATACCGGTACTTCGATTGTAAGTGCACGACGCACGAGTCACGACTCATTCAACAGATTTCCGAATCCTGCGTGCCTTTACTTTTCCACAAAAGCCAATCATTGTCACAATTCAGGATGGGACGCGGACAATCATATGCAAATTTGATTCCTAGTCTTTTGCCGTTCATTTCTCCAGTAGCGAGATCGAACGGTTGGTTTCGTAAGAATGAGACTCGGCGAATGGAAAGGGACGTCATCTCGAAGTCAGCAGACCAAGCACTTCTTTTACAGGGGTAGATTTTAGCATGATTTTAAGGGGGCCTTGAAGGAGCAAAATTGGTGGGAGCAGGATTGAATCGATATTGTGTAAACGTCTGTTCACGTGTACCACGTGAGCACAATCACGGAAGCATGGTGCGGGTCTGGAATCTGGATGTCTTCAGAGCATGAGCTGATCAACAGTACGGCTGGGAGGAGTACCGTAGGTAGACTGTATAGGACCAGGTCATCCAGCGTTCCCCCAACTCACCAGACTGCACCAGGCTGTCTATTAACCTTTCCTACAGGAGTCAGGACCATGGCCTGCACAGTCAGGGACCAGGACATTAGGTATTATTGGCATTGCGTAACCCACTGTCCTTGAGAGAGAGTGAGATGTCGTCATCCAAGAGAATAGGTGCACAAAGGGCGTACACACTGCACAGCTTATTCAAAGCATACGGTAGCTGGAGTCTCACAGCTGCCCCAGCATGGCGATCAGCGAGACGCGTACCACTACAAATTACCAGGTGGCAGGAAGATTTGCTGTCAGATCACAGCTCCAGCAGGCATCACGCCACTTTCTGACCGTCTCTTTTCATCCCGCTACCATACAGGCGCGGCCGTATCACCTTGCTGCAGCGCACTGTGCCGACCCCCTGCCAGGGCGTGAGTCCCCGCGTTGCTGTGGGCTATGGCCAAGCTGAGAGCCTGGGCAGGGAGCCTGATGCTGGGTAAGTCCCTGGACCCTCCACTCTTGTCAGTGTCGCCCAATGTGGCCGGACTCTAGATATTCCAAGGAAGAGCTGCCATGAAAACGCCACCAGATCAGCACTGCGCGTGTTTGGCAATAACTGCCTGTCCCCTCGACGCGTTTCAACTTGAGAGCAATCTTCCTCATTACAGGAGCAGAATGTCTTTCAGCCATCGTAGTACACCGTACATCCAAAGGCCAAGACTTCTTAGGTTCAGGACCGATTTGAAGCCCAATCCATTCGTCCTCCTTTTGCAAAGCCCGTATCTACAGACAATGCTGACACAAGCGCGTTCTTTGCATTGCACTGAAGGGCAGCTGGCATTGCCATCTAAGTAGCTCAACCCTGTAGATCAGCTGGCTGCACAGGTGTATGATTATGTTACAAGAGCTAACATAACAATGCCCTGGGGCTGGTCCCTCTTGGATCTTGGCAGGCCCCCCGTGCCGCCACCAGCTGACCTTCTCTCTGTCCCCTGTGTGTGCAGTGGCGGCCCTGCTGCTGCAGTCCCCCGCTGTCCTGGCGGTGCCCCTCTCGCAGCAGCTGCTGGGGGCCACCCAGCCTACCGCACGCCGCGTGCTGGCAGTCCCTGCTTCCACTGATGGTGAGCCACCAATCTAGGTCTGGAGTCTAAGGAGGACAGCTGTCAGATCTCAGAACACTCACGTCCTCGTAATCAACCATTCTCTAGATATTTTTCTAGATAGACCGGGTATTGCCACGTTCAAAGCCTTGTAAAAAGTAGGTCTCTGTAAGAGACTTCTTCTTCTTCACAACGGCTTGCATCCTACCTCCATGTGACATTTCTTAAGACAACTTTCTCTGTTCAAATGGAGTTCCATAAAGCTCGGACTCTCAAACAGCATTTTCGATGATCAAGTTTCTGGCTGACACTTCCTTATCTCTTTCCATGGAAAGCCCGTCCTTTATTACACCTGTCACTGACGCTGCCTTGCTGCGGCTACCTCTCAGGCACTGCCCCCATTGGCATCCCTGCCCCTGCGTCTGGCTCGTGCACCAGCGGCATGTACCCCACCACGTGCACCATCCCCGGCACCGCCACGCCCTACTGCTGCCCGGCAGGCTACAGGTACCGCCGGCCCCCTCTCATATCCAATGCGGAGGGAACTCTGCCACACATCTATGCCTGCAAAAGCTATGACTTGGCCGCTGCCTGTCGTTGGCAAGGATGTCAAGATTAGTAGCCAAAGCTGACCTTAGGAGGAGTCTCATCCATCTCAAATGGCAGCTCCTGAGCCACAGTGACACATCCGCCCAGGCATGAGGACTGGATCTCCAACTGCTTTTGGCGAGCTTCTAACTCGCCTCCATGAATCCTCGTGCAGCTGCTACCCGGGCAGTGGCTATGCCTGCTACAAGCAGAGCCCGGATGGGTCCTTCCCAGGGCAGCCAACCAACTTTGGGTGCGGCGACATCCTGGAAATCACCATCGACCAGATCCAGGCCAAGTTCGCTGAGGGGACACTCACGTCGCGAGCCCTCGTGGAGTGCTACCTCAAGCGCATTGCTGACTACGACAACCCCACCACCTTCACTGGCCAGGTATGCGCGATGCTGCATTTTCTCCTGGAAGGAAAGACCCGGATAAGCCTTGTGACAAAAAGCAGTTGGTGGACCTTAAGTGATGCTTCCTGCCACAGACCTCGGACATGAAGTTTGGAAAGCTTTCTCCGTTAGCATTGTTCTTCTCTAAATCGCACTGGGGACAGTCTATCATTGACTTCTAAGTAACGAACCTCTTTTCACTTGGTATTCGTCAACTCTTCCCAGAGGCTGCTCAGCTGGTCTAATCTTGACTCAAATTGGTTGCTTGCGTGTGGCAGGTGCCGTATGCTGTGAACAGCGTGCTGGAGATCGACCCGGAGGTGCTGTCGCTGGCGGAGGAGAAGGACGTGGAGCGCGCGGCGTGCATGCCCAACTGCAGCCTGAGCAAGCTGCACGGCATCCCCATCGGGCTCAAGGACAACATCTGCTCCGACGGCCTCAACTGCACGGCCGGGTCGTGGAACCTGCTGGGCAGCCACCACGCGCAGGCGCCCATCGTGGACGGCCTCCTGGCCGCGGGCGGCATCATCATGGCCAAGCTCGGCCTCTCCGAGTGGGCCTTCTTCCGCTCCTCCAATGGCGTCTCCGGCTGGTCCGGCCGCGGCGGCCAGGTCTTCGTAAGTCACGCCACGTTGCAGCTCTGCCGTGCTCATGCGGCCGTTCCTTTTTCGTGAGTACTGCTTGAAGCAACGTTCGACTGAATATTCTAACCAAAGACGCACTTCTCTGCTTCTTCTGCGTCGTCCTTGGAGTTGGTCGCTGGTATTGCACCAATCTTGCTGGGCAGGCCACCGATTTGGCTTCCTCTGCGAAGGCCTTTGACCATGCCAACTGCTCACGTGGTCCCGCGCCTCTTGCTTCTGCTAGAGTCCGTACGTGCGTTACGCCCCGCTCAACATCAGCACCAACAGCGTTCCGTACACGCCGGACATCCCGAGTGCGGTGCCGCTGAACCAGAGCTTCACCAACATCAACAACCCCAACATCGTCTCCGGCTCCTCCGGCGGCTCCGCCGTGGCCGCCGCCACCAGCATGGTCAGCCGCGTCACACATCTATGTTGACGTGTCTTTGCCACAGGCCCTTGCGAAGGACGAGCGAGAAGAAAGTGCTGGATGTATGCTTTCGGGTCTGACCCCAAGGTTATACAAGCATGTTTTGTCCTAGTGTATAGCTTCAGTTCCGCTCACACCTGTCCGCTCCGCGTGTCTCGTCGTCAGATCGCGGTGACGGTGGGCAGTGAGACGGGCGGCTCGGTGCTGTCCCCCGCGCGCGTGAACGGCGTGGTCGGCTTCCGGCCCACCATCGGGGTCATGAGCCGCAACGGCATCGTGCCGCTCTCCGTCACCCAGGACACCGCCGGGTGAGCGCCGCACCGCAACTCACTCACCGCACCCTCTGCTTGTTGTCTTGAAGCCGGCATTCCGTTGCTGCTTTTCAAGCCCCCCATTAGTGACTGGGTGACCGAAGCTCAAGAGAGCCCGTGGTGCCATTCTCTGCTGCCCTGCCTGCTGTTTAGGCCTCGCCTGACGCCTTCGATCTTTGGTGCAGGCCCATGTGCCGCACCGTGGCGGACTGTCTGTACATGTTCGACGCGATGGCGTTCGACGACCCGGCGGAGCCGGTGCACTCGGGCTCCACGCCCTGGCTGCCGCCCTACACGCGCCCCGCAGACGGCTACCTGCCCTACCTCAACTCCAACGGCCTGCAAGGTACGCTGCGGGGGTCTCTGGGAACTGCTGATTACGCTTCGTGCCACAGAGCTCGTGTCGTCGGAAAAGGAGCGCTCTCATGGAGAGTCGCCTCGGTATGTAGCAATAAAAGAGGCTCAGACTTGCGAGGGCCTCCTGATATCAAAGTGGACAGCTGGCGGCTTTCCCGTTGCTCGAAGTTTTGTTCTGGTAAGCACCACTCAGTGTCTCCGGTGCGTGTCTGGCAGGCAAGAAGATCGCCATCTACCCGCTTCCCGCCACCACAACGGGCCCCGCCGTGGCCGCATACCAACAGCTGCCCGACATGCTCAGGTCAGTCGTTCGTCACGCTCGAAAATCCAGGCTGGTAAACGCTCGAAACTTTCCAGGTTGGCAGAAGGTAGTGGGAGAACCTCACGTCCATATGCGTCGTCGTCGTCGTCTTGTTTCTAATTAGCATTCTGTGGGAGTGAAAGCTGCAGCAGATGCAGGTTTGCGCCTCTACTTTGCCACTGCTAGCTTCTTTGCGCACCTTCTTACCGCCGGTGCGTGGCGGCTGGCAGGTCCCGCGGCGCGACGGTGGACGTGCTGCCGTCCAACTTCACGTTCCTCACGCTGGGCGGCTCCGTGCTCTCGGGCGACTTCAAGGTCGACATGAACAACTTCCTCTCGCGTAAGCCCCGCCGTTCGTTGCGCCAACAGCCAACGACAGCGGCCTCACTTGACGAGATTCCTGGGATACGCAGATGGCAAACAGCAGTCTGAGACGGGAAAACACTACGATATTAGTTCGGGTCTTTTATTGGGCAGTATACGGATTGGCAAGTACATTTGACGCGACGTTGTGATCCAAGCCTTCACCTTTCGATGCTGTTTGCCCATCGCGTATCTAAGTAAATGCCTCCGTTTGTCCAGATATGTACCTTAGCCCACATCCTTTCTCCAGTGGAACCGCCAAGAGAAGATGTTAGTTCGTCGAGTGTCCGGTTATGCCAGCTGCATCAAAGCGCTTAGTTCAAGTTCGCGCTTTGGCTCTCGCTAACCCTGTTTGCTTTGTGGTGCCACAGAGCTGACGTGGGAGCCGGGGTACACGCCGCTGAAGACGCTGGGCGACCTGATCGCGTACAACAAGGCCAACTACGAGCTGGAGTTCCAGGGCGGCCTCTGCTGCCGCGGCGACCCCGCGTACGCGCTCTACTACCAGCAGAGCTGGGAGGCCAGCCAGCTCACCGGCGACAAGCGCGACCCCGCCTACGTCGGAGCCAAAATGGTGCGCGCGCGTGCCAACCAGCGGAGGGTCCATCGCTTGCTGTCCTAAATTGCTCATGCGCTGGCCGTACAGACAGTCTGGGCTATATTGACGGTCGAACGCCAGTGATGGCGCCCGTTTGCGCCGCCTGCGGAAAGTCAAGCGCCGGAAAGTTGTGCTCTGTCCTTCTCTCTGCCGCCTGATTCCAAGGCCGCCCCCTCTTCCTCCATGTTAGCATAGTCCTCGTTCCGCTCGTATGGCACTGGTATGAATTGGGGCCTCGTCTTGCTCCCCGCCTTCTCACCGCCCTTTGCTGCGTGTCCGCAGAACTCGTCGATGATCGCGGCCAGCATCAGCGACTGGTTCAAGTCCAACGGCTACGACGCGGTCGCCGCCAACGGCAACCTCATCGGCACCTGGGCGCGCGTCGGGTATGTGCCCAAGACGCGCCCCAAGAGCGCGCTCAACCTTCTGTCATATCCCCTCAATCTCGACGAATATCTGTCCGCTCACTACTGTGATATGACAGACCTAGTCTAATGATTAAATGAGCCGTTTGAAAGTTTGCCAGAATGTGATTCAACATCGGCAACGTGGTTGCCTTCGCTGTGCTTTAAACAACGGAGAATGCGGGTCACCTTAGCGTCGAAATTTTCCAAAAGTTCTCTCCTTAAAGTCAGACGCGCCGCTTTTGTCGCTCCTTCCGTCCCTCCTACCGGACACCACTGTTTGACGGGCGTCCCTGTCGTGTGGTGGTGCAGCTTCCCGGGCATCTCGCTGCCGTGCCCGCTGGGCGTCAACGCGGTGGGCACCCCCCAGGTGAGGCTTTAACACACCCATCGTCGCACTCAACCACAGTGAAATGAGTCGTCTCGGTCGCGTCAAGGTTCTCTTCACGAACTTTGGCCCAGCGCGTTTGCTCGTCTTCTGCAAGCGCGGCACTTGTTTAGTGTGCCTCTCGGATGCGTGGCGAGGACAGCCCCCTATGACTGTGAGCGCGGCTGCTCCTCGGCGCGCAGGGGCTCAACTTCCACGGGTACCCGTACAACGAGGGCGACATCTTCGCCATGGCGTACGACGTGGAGCAGAACCTGTGCCCCGGCGGGCGGCCCCAGCCCACCTACTGCGACGGCCAATCCTGCTGACGCGCGCCGCGCAGGCCACCACGGCACACGGGCGGAGCACAGGGATGAACACGCTGAGTGTTTGTGGCGTCTGCTTGGCCGCTCCATAACTTATGGCTCATATAGTTACCTATCTGCGTGTTGTGTAGTCCCCAGCTGGTTAAGTTATTAATTTTCTATGAAAAGATGCGTGTTTGCGGCGGGTACTGCAAGCCCTTGATGATGACGTCGGTACGGGGTTGTGCCAATCGACTCAGAATCGGCGACGAGACTCCACCGAGATTCAGCGGCAGACTTTATGATGCTGCTTTAAATAGACTCTCGTGCATCTAGTACGGATGTTTTTGCTAGCCGGCAAATTTGGTTTAGCCAGTTTTGAAGCAAGTCGAAGTCTTTTACGAATGCTCGTAGCGGGCCGTGACAGTGCATTTTAGCATCGGACTCGTCTCCTCATTATGATTTGCGTTGAAGCTGCTTCAATCTACAAGATTTTTGTTACAAGAACAGCTTTGGTTATGCCCAACTCTCAAGGATTGTTTGATTAGCCGGCTGCCCAGGTTCGGCGATCTGCTCCCCAGTTGCTGCATATCCACCCAAGAGTCTCTTGTGAGGAGGCAGTCGAGAAGTTGGGCACGGCCGCTCGACGACGATCGGATCGATCAAGTCGGCTTAGTCGGTCCTGACGGGTGATCTTGGAATAAAAGAACATGTCACGTATGCGCAGCGTTGTAAAATATGTTGCCAGCTTTGGGTGGATCGGACTCCAGCTCCTCAACTCACGTTAACAACGGAGTCATACAAACTCAATCTCCTATCCAACCCAACTTGCTCCGCTGTATCGTTTTGATTCGATTGATCAATCTCTGAGTTAATTGGCTACAAAAAAGCACTGGGCGGCTAGCAGGCTGACCTCACGATTATACTGTACGGCGGCTGCTTCTAAGTTGAGAAGCCGACGGCACGTCTTTATCTGGCTCTGTATCATGTTGCATGTGGCACGTACTCTATAATGAATCAAAAGAGACCGTCGGAACGGTTGTCTTATATAATTAGCTCTAGTGGCAACTATACTATAAGTCACCTGTATCTGGAGCCGATCATGCAAATTTGAAACTTCGTGATAATGCCATATATGCGGGCCTCGGTGATTCGTGTGGTCTTGGATCATTTGCGCACAATTAGTTTTTCAGTGCAACGCATGCGCATGGGCCGCGGACACTGACAATTATATCTTAACTGCGTTCTGAATGTTTGATCGAGTGACTAATCGCATGCATGCACGTGACGCACTTAAGGAATAGATGTTACCAGATCGTCTCATGCGACTCATTTCGAACTGTTTTGCTAGACCCTCGTCTTAGACGCTGGCCCCGCGCCACGGCCCGGCCAGTCACTGGTAGTTGGGCCCGTGCGAGCACCAACCCATGCAGTATCTTACATGCGTCACTGTAAACGATCCATTGCTAAAAGTGGTTGTAGCGCACCAGGCTCGCCCAGGCCGCTGCCGGAATGATCAGGAAACTGATTGCATTGAAGTCGAGAAGGACTTTTGAGTATCGGCCGCCGCGACATGTTACCTGAGCTGGATCAGAGCTTTCCGTCCGGGTTGACTTTGATCAGTGTCACGTATAGCGGTATATAGTGGTATCCCTGACCACACAACAACTCAGATAAAGTGTAAGAGAGTACATGTAAAAGTCGGACAGTGCTCAGGTCGCGACAGACGGTTGAGTCCACATGATGCAGAAAATTTCTGCCAATGTACCTTCAATCGCCGCCAACTCACCAAATCTTGGAAATGTGAATCTTTTGGTAATGTGAACACGTGAATAGAAATTTGACCCCCGAGTCTTGTCGCGGAGGCAGGCAACGCGAGCAACGCAAGTTCCTGAGAGCTTATTCGAGTCAGGCCGCTACCAAGACTGGGCCGGCCGTCATAAGGAGGAGCTCAAAGGTTGGGACAGCGCTGTTGAAAAGGCCATCTCCGCGTCGGCCATGAGGCCTGTCCCGTGCAGGACGAGCCGGTCCGCATACACATCCACGCAGCCGTATGCGTCACTGCCGTGGGGGCACTCCAGGGCGGCCTCCAGCACCCGGTGGTGGATGCCAGCCCCGTCGCGCGCATATCCCCCTCGGTGCGCATGCCCCGCCAGCGTGGCCACGACGCAGCTGTGCGCGCGCAGCACGGCCAGCACGCGGTCGTAGTTCCAGAGCAGGCACGCGGGCGCGGTGCTGGCCGGCTCCAGCGGCAGGTGGCAGCACACGATGCACCGCTGGCCCGCCGCCTGCGCGCCGTCCAGCTCCGCCTCAAGCCACGCCAGCTGCGCGTCGCTGATGCCGCCGCCAAACATGACGAACCGCCTGTGCATGCACGGCCGAGTCAAGCAGCTGCAAATTGCTGGTGACTGCTCGGTGCTTGGTGGAAGCTCAACGAGTCGGGCAGGAGAGACAAGGGCAGGTGTCGGGACGAGTCCGCTGGCCGAGAGCAGCGAAGAGCAAGAGCCGGCCATGCCAGCCAGAAAATTGAAAGAGTCGACCGATTGCTCTTGTGCTGGTCGCTCATCTTGCAGCGGCTGACGGCTTCAGGACAGCGGACGTCCCTGTGTTCGATAGTTCGTTCTCAGAGCATCGAGGCGGACAATCTACACTTGACTCGAGCCGGCAATGTAAGTAAGAGAAATGCTCGACGACAAGCGACCACCTCACCTGGAGGGCCCTTCCAGCGTTTCGGGGCTGTTTTTGTTTTCGTTCGGGTTGTGCGTGGCCAAGATCGCCGTGGCGAGTGCCGTCTTGGGGTGCTCGGGGGGCCACCCCAGCATGCTGACGTCATAGCCGTCGAGGACTATGAACCTGCGGACGTGCGGCGGAAGGAGTGAGCGATCGAAAGCACCCGCTTTCCTGCCCAGCAAGACTGGCACCAAGAAAGTGTGGGCAATAAACGGGAGGGATTGTAGTGACCAATTGCGTCCCGCATTAGTTGCTTACAAGAGTTTGATAGTGATTCTCCTTGGCTGTGCTTGCGAGTTACGCTGACTCCCCCATGCCCTGTTGAGACAAGTTTGAAGGTCGTGCGTTGGTCGGGCTTGGTGTAATGATTTGCCTGGCTAGGCCACGGTCAGCTGCTGGCATGCTGTCCGCAAAATGGGGACGGCTTTCCGACCGAAGATGGTCCACCATGACGGTCGACCTGAACTAAAACCGGTTCCATGTACTTTGGACCATGGTTTGCAGCACTGCGCCAACGTTCCCGGGATCGGATGTGCTCAACCAAGACAGCTTGGCCTGAATTGAACTTCGAGGTAATAGCAATGTCCTCTGACAGTCGAAGAAACGAGGTTGGTCCCATGGCCTGCCAGCTCTCTCGTGGGGCGTCCCGCCTTTACATTGAGAAGCCGAGGTATGGTCCCCTCAGAAAACGGCAGACCCAATCCTGCTTGGTGGTGGCTCACCGGAACCGGGGGTGGGGCTGGAAGGAGTAGTAGGAGCAGCCGTCTGCATCCCCAGGTATGTCGAGCAGCTGGTTCAGGCGCGCGCGCGGCAGGTTGTAAAGACAATGGTTTCCTGGACGCAACCAGCAGAGGTCAGCACAGCGAGGGCACCCCGAAAAGAAGCTCTCATGGTGCGATGTCACCGAGCGTCCCTCCCTTTTTTCTATCGTCTGTTCCAAAAGACCGAGTCGTCAAGGCAGCCCGCACCAGAACGTACTTCGCTGCAGAACCATGTGGACGCTGTCCAGTCCTCACCACATCATCCAGGCATAAGAATAAACATTCTGCACTGGCACTTCGGGTGTAGACTCGTGGGGATGGGGTGGGCAGTGCAGCGTGCAACTGACCTAGCATGTGGAAGGTGCGGCAGGGCAGGCGCTCGAACTGGGCCAGCACCGCCTGCACGGCCACCTCCGACTGCTCGCGCGGGCAGTAGCCATCCACAATGTCGCCAAAGTGCACCGCAAATGCCGGCGGGGGCTCCGACTGCAGCCACGAGTCGACCGCTCGCCGCAGCACTGCCAGACAGCCACGCACAGCATTAGAAGGCAGCGCAAGGACGGGCTCCGGTGATCCCGCGCCGCTGGCATCACTTCGACCCGGCAAGGGGAACACAAGCAAGCCGAGGGAGCAGGCTGCAGCAGCGGGGCTTGGGGCTTGGGCCCACTACTATATGGTGGGGGCTGTGGATCACCTTGTAAGCTGTGGCGGTAGTAGCGCGGGGTGCCGCCGTAGGAGGCGCCGTCGGGAATGTCGGCGTGCTGCACGTCTGCACCAGGAGCACACCTCACACATCAGGGAGCAGCCCCAGAGTGGCGCTGGCCAGGGGTGACGGCCAGGCAGAGGGCACCAAGCGGCGAGCGGGGGTGGGCGGCACTTGCCAGCAACACAACACGACACATGCTCTGTGACAGTTTAGCAGATGTCGCAGATCTACAGCGAAGCAGGATGAGCCTTGTAATGCCTAGCAACATCTTCGGCAGACTACTAACCTAGGAAAGCAGACGTATCAGAACCAAGGTAAGTGAGATCCTAGGAAGTGTTCAACCCCTTCACCAGTTCAACGGCACCTTAATGGAGTATCATCACTGGCTGTTCAATGGACGACGTAATGACCTACCTGTGATGACCCCGAAGCGGAACAGTGGCGCCTGTCCCTGCCCGGGTTGGGGGCTCTGGCCCGAGGTGCTTCGATCCGCCTCCACTGCCTCTTCTCCCTCAAACTCGGAAGCCCTTCCCACCAGACCCTGCATGGCAACGCCAGCTCCGTTTCCAGAAGAAGCTGCCAGCACTGTGCAGCTCGGAGAGGCCTCTTCCAACAGCGGCACCTCGTTTTGGCTCATGCTTCTCAAACGTTGAGAAACCCGCACGCCCTTTTCAAAAACTCTTGCCAAATTGATGAGGCTTAACCGATGAATCCCAGTTACCCTGTCCGCCAGATCGCCCACACGTTGCTTTCGCCGCCCGAGCTTGAAATAAGGTTGGGAACAATGCTGCAACCGAGGGGTGGCAAACTTGCAGCTTGCTTGGCTTGTGATGTGATCATGGAGTGACACCCGTCCTGACGTCGTACAAGGCATCTTCTGCCCCGTCGCTAGGCCTCCTCATTCTAGCATGCCGTTGTTTGCCAGTGGAAGTGGAACATTGGACAGCTCGTCCTGCACAAAGTACGTACGTAGACTTAGTGGCACGACCTTTTCACACCGTTCCGTTTTGAACGATTATATTCTCACTTGTTTTCATTTCACACAAACCTCTAAACCTCTTAACCCTTGGTTAAGACCCTTGTTATTTGTCAAACAAAGCGTTTAAACCACGCAGATCTTTGATCCAATAATTTGGCAATATATAAAAAACAAAGGCCAAAAATAATGATTTTTGTGGTGAAAAGGTCGTGCCACTACGGTAGTCGGGATGATCTGCTTTGAAGCCTTGAGCAGCATCAATTGTCAAGCATTTGCACCAGACGGCGACCTTTAAAACCGTGTATGTTAACGGCAGACGTCGGGAGTCAGCTCGGTGGACAATTCGAGGGCGTTTGGTTGCCGTCCCCAATAAGAAACGTTATTGAAGATCAAGAGAACGGCCCCTGTGGTCGCCGGTCGATCTCGCTGGTCGCCGTTCACGTTGGTGAGGTGTTCACGTTCATGACTCCGAGTCATGAGCTGGTGTTCCGGCACATTGGCCGCCTTTGACATTGTGGCCCTGGCATTCAAACTGAGTGCTGCCCACTGTTTCTGCTGTTTCTTTTATTGCTTCAAACGAAGCTTCTCGACCTGCAAACGCTGCGTTCCGAAATGTCGTTGCCAACTTCCCTTTCAAGCAGACTCCAGACCATTTCAGACTGACGCTCCTGTGCCTCATTCTGATCACCCCAAGCTCCCCACAGACACGCGCTGGCATCTTGCTCAGCAGTCAGACCGTCGACCCCAAGATGGTGGCAGGTGTGGCTCTGCGCTCCTCCGGTGCCCTGGCATTGTGTGCTCCTGCTGCCAGGAATCTTGCTAGAGCATCACGCACCAGCCTGGGCTTGGTGCGGCCTCCCGGCCCCCTGCCGGCGTGCGGGTGCGGCGCCAGCTTTGGGAAGGTCCCTGCAACACCGCCCAAGTCAAGCTGGTATGTGCCAGGTGCAGCAGTGGTTAACAGGGAATGCATCACAGCTTGTGGCAAGCTCGTTAGAGTTCGAATCATCAATCACTGGTCAGCAGTTACTTCTGTTGATGCTGCATTCAACCTGCAAGATGCCTGGCCACCAACGTGGCGGAGCATGGTGCGGCTGCTTCCATCCATTGAGAGGAAAAGTCATGCTCATCCTGTCTCAGACCACAACGCTGCAGATGGGCCGTGCAACTGCGAAGCGCAGCTTACGTTGTAAGTAGGCACTTGGCCAGGCTTTAACTCCAGTGGTCGCCCCTGCCTTCAGGGCTGCTCCATCTTGCTCGCCGGTCCCCAGCCGGCCGCGGCTGCTCTGCCGTGCAGCCAGCAGTGCGTCGGTGGCCGCCCCGGCAACAGACACTCAGGAGGGGGCAGCGCCAGCTGGCGCGGGCGGCGAGAAAGCGGTAGCTCGCAAGCAGCGTGTGCTGAGCGGGGTGCAGCCCACGGGGTCGCTGCACCTGGGCAACTACCTGGGGGCCATCAAGAACTGGGTGGCGCTGCAGGACACGTTTGAGACCTTCTTCTGCGCGGTCGACCTGCACGCCGTGAGCCCCCACCGCGCTATGATGACGCAGGCCTGCCATTCTTCGAATCAAGACTGTGGAAGCGGGAAGTAGATGATTTTGGTTTCAGTAAGCGGTTCAAATCTTCTAGCGTTCTAGACCATCAAAGCTCCCTAACAAGATTTTGATGAGGTGCCTCTGTCCACCCCTGATGCAAGCGCGCAGTCCCACAAACCAGGGCGAAATTCAGGACGTCATGGAACACTGGGCTAGGCCAGTGCGCTGGCCAGGAGCAGACAGCGCCCCCTCCCATTGCAGATCACACTGCCGCATGACCCCGCCAGCCTGGCCCACACCACCAAAAACTCGGCAGCCCTGTACATCGCTGCAGGGATCGACCCCGCCAAGGTGAGGGCCCTCACTGTGTCATCTGGCGGCAAGCAACGGTGTGTAGCACATCGGGGTCCTGCACCTGCAAGACGGGGACAGCACGCGGCGCCCGCAGTTTGTCCTCCCCCTACAGGTGTGGTGGCCTCTGTGCTCTAGCACACTGAAGCCCCAGATTGAGCAGGTCAAAACGCATCTGGAAAAGGCGTGCATATCAGTGTGTGTCATCCGCCCTAAAACTCGCAGGGCACTTCTGTTGGAGTGCATCTCACCGACTGGTGCGGGTGGGTGCAGGCGTCCATCTTTGTGCAGAGCCACGTGAGCGCCCACGCGGAGCTGACATGGCTGCTGAGCTGCGTGACGCCCATTGGCTGGCTGAATCGCATGATCCAGTTCAAGGAGAAGTCGCTCAAGCAGGTGAGGGCGGGCCCTCCTGAGCCGAGTATGGGGTATACCCTACAAGCGGGGCAGCTCTGCCAACCAGACACTGCGCATCAGCTCAGTCGAGCTGCCACTCCTGGCGGATGGAGGACTTTCTAAATACAATCTGGGAACGAATCAGGATGTCGTCGACATTTTTCCTGCTTGGGCTGTCTCCTCAGCAGGCTCTAGCTGGACCGGCTTCACTCGGACATCCACGGGCTCACGCCGCTGTATGTGTCCGTGCGTGTGCGTGCAGGGCAACGAGGAGGTGGGCAGTGGCCTGCTGACGTACCCGGTGCTCATGGCCGCGGACATCCTGCTGTACCAGGTCAGGCGCCGGGAGGTCGCCAGGCCGCGCGCTTAGATGGCAAACATGGCGGCATGCTGCCTCCACGCCAAGAAGTGCGATTTCGTGCTAAGCAATCAGTCAGTGCAACAAAATTGTATTGTCTTGCTGATGCTGTCCTGCTGAGCGGCTCGGCAAATGTCAGCCGGTGTCTTGTTGCTGGTTGGCTCACCCGGCCGCTGTGTGCGCATGTTGGCTGCAGTCGGACCTGGTCCCCGTGGGCGAGGACCAGAAGCAGCACATCGAGCTGGCGCGAGACGTGGCCAAGCGCTTCAACGATCAGTTCGGGGGCAACAAGTGGAAGAAGCGGGGCGGGCGCGGGGGCCGCATCTTCAAAGTCCCCGAGATCATGACGCCCCCCACGGGGGCCAGGGTCATGTCGCTCACAGACGGCACCGCGAAAGTAAGACGGGGCCCATCAAAGAGGCGGACCGTTCATGCTTCCCCGCCGTAGGTCGTCTTCGAGTATGGAAGAATGATATGTAGACGGGATGTCTCCCTGGCTCCCGTGAAGTTGCTCACATCATTGGCGTTTTTGCAGTGGATTGTCGAAGGAAAAGGGCTCGTACTCGAGACTCCTGATGACGGACTTCCCTTATGATCAGGAAAGCAGGCTAGCGTTCTGATTTTGCTGGCGTCTGTGCGCGTACTTCGACCGGTCGTCCTGACCGTCATCGCCCCTCAACGCGTGCTCGGCTGCTTTTACAGATGTCCAAATCGGACCCTGCGGATGGGTCACGTATCAACCTATTAGACTCGCCCAGTGAGATCGCCAAAAAGATCAAGCGGTGTAAAACAGACGGATTCGAGGGGCTGGAGTACGGCAACCCGGAACGACCCGAATGCTCCAATCTCCTTGGGATCTACGAAGTCGTCACCGGTAGGTCGAAGCAGGTGAGTCGATTCCAATTCCCACGCCACTTTGCATCCGCTAGATTCGACGCTGCTTTCGATCGTCACCCAAGTCTAACAAAGTGGTTGTACGAGCATTGCGGCTCCTGCCCAAGCTCACCCGCAAAGCTGTGCGACAGTCAAAATGCGACGGTCAAGTCGCTCCTGGTGGACCGCCCAGAAGCAGGGCCCCAGCAGCAAGAGAGGGCGTCCTTGGAAAAGCAGCCAGTGCAGGCAGCAAGAGAACAGATTATGACGGCGCCTTCTTCCCGCGGGTAGCCTCCCGTGCTCGACGGCTGACCTCCCCTGTGCGAATGATTGCAGGAAGTGTTGGCAGAGTGCGGGTCGTTAAGTTGGGGCCAATTTAAACCGTTGCTGGCGGATGCGGTAGTCGCTCATCTGGAACCGATCCAGGTAGGCTCCCCACACAACTCTCGACGCGGGGGACCGCTTATTTGGAGTTATCTGGTGTTTCGCTCTGCCTACTGGAAAGCGTATCCATCTGAAAGAACAGAGTTTGGATGTGCTTGCTGCTGATACCGACCTCCTTTTTGGGTGCTGTTCGTGGAGTGCTAGAATCCCTTTGCCAAGTCTTTACTAGCTTAGGGGGTCATGCGCAGACGCGGTACAACGAGGTCGTGGCGGACCCGGCCTACCTCGACACAGTCCTCGCAAACGGAGCGGCAAAGGCCAACGAAACGGCACGGCTCACTCTGAAAAATGCGTATGATGCGATGGGGTTTTTGTTGCCGTCAACTCTTCGATAAGAGTTTTTGGGGGAAGTTGCCGCGTTTTCGAGAACCCGTCCAAATCGATAGTGATGGTTGAAGATTATGGAAAGCACTGTCAGTCTCATAAATTGAATCTTTCAAAAGCGTTGATCATCGGATCAAGACACTCCGACCTTTGAATGTATCCATGATCGTACCGCCTTTCAATGCATGGAGTCAAGCATGTATGGTATGGCCGGTATGTTATGTACAATCATGCGGTTTTTTAGTATGGTATATCTAAAAGAATTACACATTTGGGTCCTACATTGGGTATACTACCGTACTGCTATTTGATTTCGGCACCTTCGACGCCGAAAAACTAATTATGAAACTTTCTGTCCTTTGGTAAGTTACCTGCTAAATTAAGTAACCATAATTAGTATCGAACCAATATCGCCTGAAAACATTTTCTGAAAATCTCGGCATGGGCCGCAAAGAAGTATTTAAATTTATTGCCGGAAATAAATATAGCAGTGCGGTAATAGGTTGCATCATCATTATCATGTATGTAGTCTGCATATATATCGGAGTTCTGTTTGATCGGATATATATATGTAGGCTAGCTCTTCCTCTCTTATATCGAATCTGCAACAGGAAGACGACCGGCCACGTTATAGGAAGCCTAGGCTTGAGCTAGGGCTATATAGTTGAAACCTTACAATCTAGTTGTTGCAATTACAACCCAGCTTAGCGCGCTCGCTATGGTAGATTGCTTACGAGACGCCGGTAGTTGAGGAAGACATAGTGATAACCCCCGGCCCGCACACACATTCATATATTATGTATGCAATGAGAAGCCTATGGCCCAGGTGGCCGCTACGGCGAGTAAAAGAGAACATCATGTGCATCAACCGCTGGCAGAACGGTGCAAGTACATAGCGGCTTAGAATTGTAACAGCCATGTCGACCCACACGTGAGGCCCATGGTTAAATGCCACTTGTGGGACCGCCCGGCCGGGCCGGGCGGCCACTGTCTCTTGTACCAATGTGTACGGCGCGGGCCATGGGCTTAATTGCAATCAAGAGCTCGATCGGGCTCAATTGGGCGGCCGGCCGGCCGGCCCCACCCTACTAGAGTCGGAATATAGCTACATACTTCGTCAGATGGTTAAGCTTCTCGTTTGTTAACGCCTTCAGCCGCAGAATAGCTAGGCTAGAGCCATGGAGCAGTGACAGTCTCTGGAAGACCCGGGACAATCTATTGATTCTGACTCCGACTCGGTTCAGGCGCTTCACCTGTCGAATTTCTTCACATTATTGTACATATAAAGCTCGACTCCGATGACCTTTTTGATTCTCTACAAATTAACTGGAGCAACGGAACCCAGTGTCCGTTCCTCAAATTGGAACGGGACAAATCTCTTTTAAACGCCATGTAAAGTACAAACTGATACAAGCAACTTGCTCGCTGACCACATACATCACGTCAAAGGACTGCTTCAAGATGATTGCGTGCTGTTAATCCGTATGAGGATGTGGCCCGCCTTCTCCTTACCAGCCCCTCTTCATTGGATTGTCGTCTTCCGCTGGCTCCTCGGTTGAGTACATGGTCCGAAGGCTGCGAACGTATCGCGTCTCATATATGTTGTGCTGGTGCATGGACGGGCTTCCTGATGGAAACGTGTTGGGCCCAGGTGGTGTTCTTACGTCGGAGCGCAGTGGTGATGCGTTCGCCCCGCGATATGGCGGGCTATTCGTTGGGCTCCTTCGACGGCCAGAATCGCAAAATGGTGGAGTTTCAGTGGGGATTCTGCGAGTCACCCGTTGTGGACCAGTATGCGGCTGGTCGGGCCTGATCGAATGCAGAGATGAGTCAGCAGCTGTTGGGGCGGGGTCGGAGTCAGATGTTGCGTCGAGCAGAGTTGGGGTGGCCGGTGGAGAAGGCTGGGGGGACGGCTCCGGGCTGGCGTCAGGTTCCTTGAGTGCTTGGTACGAATCCTGGCCAAACCGCAGGGCTGCACAGGGAGGGGGGTGGGGGTCAGCGCTGCAAGATATGCGTGCCTAGGAAGTCGCATAAAGAGGGAGGATGGAAGAGTCCGAATCCAGCTTTGTGTAGTGGCTTGCCTGATGCCTCTGAAGGGCGAGACGCATCACTGTATCTATGCATTCCATTTCCAGACGAGGTCAGAAGGGTGACAAAAGAAGTTGACGAGATAGGCAGGCGACTGAGCGTGCCCATGGCCGGGAGCAGGTCGTTTGATTGGAGCGTACAACGAAGGGGACACCGACCTAACGGATCAGATTTGAGTGTGTCACTGGTCCAGAGTGTCTTTCGACAACAGAGCTCTGCGCCTGGCGAATGTACCAATTACCGTCGAGCACCTAAATCCTATCATATCATGCATCTTTGGCACTCTCACAAAAAAAAAGAGGGCAAAGCCTGTCGTTGACCAGATTCCGCTGTGTACCTTAAAACGAACTCCTTTCGCTTAGAAAGAGATAATGATCAGGAGAGGTAAGCAAAAGGGAGCGGGTATGAAGGAATTGTTCGATGCGCCGTAATGTGGTGGCAGTAAGCGCGTGCACCCACCTGCCAGGGCCACACGCCGCAGGAGCTGCGCCGCATATGCAAGCTCGCTCTGGTGTGCAGCCACAAAATGACTCTGAGGAGCAGCGAGGAGAGCGTCGTGAGCAGGGCCAGCCCACAAGGGGACACAGCATGACAGTTATCCACGACGCTTGTTATCTGCCATTTGATTGACTTCTTCAATGGCCGGAATAGGGTGTAAGCCGGGAGGAGTGCTTGCAGCGCCAGAGAGAATCCGACCACGTCCGTCATACAACGAGAGGACTTACGTTCTTAAGAGCTCTGCCTGCACATGGCTCGAAGAACCCCCGTTGGACCATCTCAAGACGAGAGATAAGATCTTAAAAGGATGTACGTTTGTCGCAACTTGTGCAATATATGTAAGTCGTTTCACGCTACCCCCCAGCTACGATTCAACAACGCTTCCTTTGTAGTCGGCTTGTATCAGCCTTGTTCTTCAAAACATCTGCGGTTCCGCATCAGGTCTGTAAGCTTGAACCAAAAAAGCGGCACAGGCATATCCACAGACTGTCATTGAGTAATCTAGGGCGCTCTTTGGAAGTTGAGTTGAGCATATGATCTCCGTGCGAAGTACTCAGCAAGAAGCTGACGAGTGGCGGAGCCGCACGCTGCGCCTGTGCTCACCAGGTGTGCCCGGGTGCCCGTCACCAGGCGGTCCATGCGGCCCTGGTGCCGCCGCAGCAACGGCCGCAGGAGGCGCATGTACAGCACCCGCGCGCCCTGCCCAACCAAAAGAGACGCGATGAGTGACTACGAGGGCAGGGCCCGAGTGACTGGGGGGGATGAGTCCAACAGCAAAAGGGCAGGAGCGGTGTGCAACTGGCTGGGCGGTGTGCAGGGGCCCGGTGTGCAGGCTGAGCCGCCCGGCTTACGCTGTTGCTGGGAGGGACCTGGAGCCAGATGAGGAAGGCAAGCTTGAGGTGGTAGTACAGGGGGAGCCAGGACAGCCAGCGCTCACAGGAGGACTCAGCCACGCTCAGGCAGCCGCATACTGCACGAGGGAAAGGGTGAGAGGTCACAGCCGACTGCTTAGAAAGTAACAAGTTGGCAGGACGGACGACATCGACGGAAAAGGTGGTCAAAGCATCGCCCTCGCTGAGTAGAGGCAGCCACGGTGGTCTTTAGAGGATACTCCGCAGTCAATGCTTATGTATTCAGGTATACGCAGTTTACTGGACCTTGTACGTCACTGTTAGGCAAAACAGACCATTCAGTTGACTGTTGTACTTCACTGTTTAGACGAAGTAGACTCGCTCAATGCAATCCTGCACTTGGCTGTGCGGACTAGACAAACCATTTGAGTCGGTTCTTGTACGTAGATGGTTGGATTCCAGTTTGAGCCACTGCAACAAAGGGCTTGCAATGATGCAAAATACTCCTGATTAGTAAAGAGATCCGTTCTCGGAGACCGCAGCCCGGCTGCCCCACCTGCCCAGTATGTGAGCCAGTGATTCCTTTCTGCCTCGTCCTCCCCACTTGTCCCCTTGCGCTCGAGTACCTTGTAGGTGCAGTATACGGGCATGCCAATCCCCACAATGCCGCTGCAAAGGAAACAGGGTCAAGGCTCAGGCATGCCCAGCCAGTTGACCGATCCTCTATCTAAAAGCAGTCCCATTGCCTACTCTGGATGGAAGGACACCTTCCCCAATGATAGCCCTATGCGTCATTTTGGCACTCAGATTGCCTGGCATGCACCCACCACCTGCAGAAGCTGCGCACTTCACCACTACAAGTGCGCAACCTCTACCACAATTGTGTCTCTGTGCCGGCTTCACCGCCCCTCCCCATCTCACCATGCGGACCGCACCAGGATGGAGGAGGAGCCCGGCGAGAGCAGTAGACGCAGCCCCAGCTGGTCCAGACAAGCAGCGGGAAGTGAGGGGCTGACAGAAAAGAGAGGCCAATACCGCTTGCCCCACCAAACTCCTGATAGTTGCTGACACGCAAGGAAGGCCAGCAAAGCTCGACCATACGTTCGATCTTCAATCCTCTGGTTATTCCCCATTACTCTGCCAGGATTTTCTATGGCTGCCTCTGCTTCACGAAAGAAGCAAGCCAGAAGACAAGGATGGCATAGCCATCCAGGTCCACTCATGTGCATTGCACCCAATTATCGGAGAAATCTTCATTTGCACAGCAAGCAAAACCAAGTCCTGGTATGGTTGTGACGGTCAACCCCTTCACTTCAATTGTGCACATCAACATCACCGTGAAGGCAAAAGTTGCACATCTCCAATCAGAATGCTGCACACCTCATGAATCCTGGCAGGACCTGCTCACCTCTCCTCCCAAGCCAAGTCCGCTGCTAAGGAGGGCCATTGGCTCAGCAACACAATCTCCCTAGCTGCTCCCTGGTCTCTAGAGTCTAGACTCTAGAGAATCTTGGAGCGCAGCTGTCGCCTCCGGCCGAGTCTCCGACTCCAAGTCCTCCTTAGGCTTCGATAAGACTTCAATTTAGGTATTAAGTAAGCTTCAGGTAAAGTAAGCCAAGCAGCCTGGGACGGGTGGGGTTAGTTTGGGGGTTAGGGTGGGTTTGGGTGCGGAGCGGGTGTTTTTGAGGGTTAGGTTTTTAGTGTTAGGCTGGGAGCTTACTATACCTAGAGCTTAGGGTAAGGTCATTTTGTAGTGG